TTTTCCTGGGTTAGTCAATAAGCGATATCATACTCACTTGTAAAGGGTAGCCCAGTAGCTCTCCAGAAATTCACGTATTTTACCAGTATCGGGAAATTTCAGTTTAATGGTCTCTCAAATAATGCGGGGGGTGTTAAGCATTATGGTTGTTTTGTGATTCACAAAAACGGATAATTCTCCCTAGAAACTTTCCCTCTAACTTTGTTACCGAAATTCTTACCAGAGGAGGGTCCTGTGATCCTAATATTGAAAAGAAGATCTTTCGGTTAAAATCGCCTCGCGAGAAGACAATAGCATCGACCAAGATGTTGGTTGAGGTTGCAGCTGGAAGTATACCCTGAAGAATTTGAAAGATCAGATAAGATCAAAATCAACTTGCAGTCATCGTAGAACTGTATCAATAGAAACGGCAGATTTACTTACCGTCGGATTCTTTGAATGAAAACGGACTCCCTCCAGGTCCTGGTCTGACTCAGCGTTTGAGGATTTAAAGGTATAATGCGCTTGTAACTCCTTATCGTGGTTTCTTAGCCGCACTAAAAAGGGCTTCGGATATTTCAGGAAACAGAGGCCTATGTTGAGAGCACATGACTCAATGGTGATGTGAGGGACCCGGCATCTACAAAGTGTAGGACGTAGTATATTTTTGTAAGCGTAACATTTAGGTTAAGCACCCACCGGCATGCTCAAACGCAGCCCAGAATACATAATATTGTGGTTTTTCAGGTAAACGTGAGAAACCAGTAATAGCAAATAGTAGTAGCAGTAGTAATAGTAAAATAGTAATAGTAATAGCAATAGTAACTATGTTTTTTTGTATATATTATGCAATATTTGAGCACCGACATTACTTTATGATGTCTTAATATCCGGAACTTTATAGCACACTAGGTTAAAAGGCTGAAAGATTGGAACTTCCTAAATTTCAATCTGAAATTTGAACTTTATAGTAATATTTTAGGTACTCTTTAGCCAAGAGAAGCGTTAAATCGCGCAAGTATATTTGAAGTTGCGTAACAGACAGACTAGAATCCCCCTAATAGGCCTCGCCTTCCGTTAAATTGTAGGGCGAGTACGGTTAGGGTGGAGGCTTGCGTCAGGGTAAAGTTTGCAGTTACGTTTGGGCTTAGGTTTGGGTTTTTAGTAGGGTTTAATGCCATGGTCATGTTTAGAACACAGGAGTAGGAAGCCTTCATGGAATTTAGTGGAAGGCCACCTGTATTACCGGGAGACTCCAAAATCCATGTCTTACTGACGTGTCAACCATGGTTTTCACTGGCCGTCCTAAATGTCAGATTAACTATGCAGTAACCACTCCCTTCCTTTTCACGAAGAAAGAACAATTTCTATGGAATTTCAGCGGGTTTTTTGTCTTTTGGTAGGTTACTCCATCTCCCAAATAAGCCGTCACAATTTCTTATCTTGTTGTCGAATGCTTTAAAGCAAATACCCAAATACTTGGGACGGTAAGATTTTTACCTCAAGGAATAAATGCATTTGAAAGGGTATCGTGAATTATTGCCTGCGAGAGCTGGCTGTCATGCTGTCATGTAGATTTTTTAAGTGACTTCATATGTTTTACTTGCAGGTTCTGTCACACTGCGCAGTAAAAGGTCGTTTTACAAAGGCAGGTTTTAACATGTCAGCCCCTCCTATAACTTAATATTTATCAATATTCCCATATGGAAAATATTAAAGTTCTTAAAGATGGTAATGTGCACACACTGCGTATTTCACGCCCACATAAGCCCATTTTCTACCATGCTAATTTTCTCAATGTCGACGTCGCCACACTATTGTGATTTTCAACCCTGGAAATACTCTGAGGTGTGGTACAACACTCATCACCGACGACAAAAATTTGGCTTCCATTTGAAGAGGAGGGACAACATGAGTCTGCCTTTTATCTCATATATACTTTCCTAGCACGT